TATAGTTTCCGAGATACCAATGCTCGTACCTCGAATTTGTAGCACCCTGTATAACTAATTTTAATTAAACACGTCCGAAAGTAGAATTGCCTCTTAACTAATAGTTGCTCTCATCTCACCTCGGCACTGATCTTTTTCCAAAATTGAAAATCCGCAAGGAAGATACGAAATTTGTCGCGAAAAACCCCAGCGCCCCGAAAAATTTAAATTCATAGCCGTACCCGGGAAAAATAACACCGGAGGTAATGAGGAAAAATGCTAATTCGGAGGAGCAGTAGCGAGAGAGAACGGGAGGATCGGTTCAACGCTTTGATTTTCCGCGCCCGTGGAAATGGAATTGCTTCATTTCCAGGGATATTTTTTATCCTCGGCCGGGATTACCGGGGAAATGAAGACGCCGCCGTACGAGATTTCATTTAAGACGTAATTTGGAAGCGGTCTTTGGACTTTGGAAGATTTCCAGTTTTATTTTCCTTATTAGGAGTGGAGGAAAAGGCTTATATCTATAATAAGGGTATCCTAGATAATAACGGGGATAATGTTTAAAAAGAGTTCTCACAGTTTTCCAGAAAATTCTAGATTATGTTGAATCTTTGGGTGTGCAATTGTAATTGTTGTGACTAAAGAATACAAGAACCAATAACACCCGAGACCAAATTATTACCATTTGTTTTCAAATAGTGTCAGAGGATTATGGGCATTAGATACAGATACGACGGCGGTCTCTTCAGCATAAAAAAACTCAGGGCAAAAACAAATATAAAATTAATCACAGAATTTCAATACGCTGATGGCCTGGAAATGCTGGCCACATATACCTGGGTATGGGAGGCTTTGGACCTTAAGAACATGGATAAAACTAAAATCATGTGCACTCAGAAAATCATATCAATGCTATAAAAATCGGAGAACTATTTGAATGTGTAGCTTATATTATTCTTATTAAAACCAAAGAAGAAAGAAGCGGTAGCCGTTCATAACAAACCTCTACAGCAATACAATATATTGGCTACAGAAAAGATGTTAAACCTGACTATTGGGTCATAAAATTGTGCAATGCTTTACCCATACAATTCCAGAGTATCAGACTTTAATAAAAAATAGGTTTTATACACACAACTTCTATACATATCAGAAATTTATATAATTTAACTTTTTATTATAGAGGGTGAGTCTTAAATAAGTGCAAATATTTTCAGGGCTGGTAGATCTCGATAAAGAAACATATTTTCTCATAACTGTTTTTCAAATAAGTCCAAAATAACAAATAACCAATACATTTTACTTTGAAAATTTTAAAAAATGATTTTTTGCTTCAATTTTGATAACGACATGGATCTTTTCTGGGGTTTCTTTCTTGTAAATTTAATCTACTACCTATGTCGCCATATTATGAAGATATTATGTTTTTTGACTAAAAATTAAAAAAACTACCAAAATTTTTTTCAAAAAATTCCAAATTTTCCGAAAAAAAATTTCGCACATACTCGTGTTTCTGGAGTAGAAATAAACTAGCCCTAAAAATATTTGTACTTATTTAATACTCACCCTGGATTGTCCTATTTGTAGCTGGTAAGATTTTTACAGTGCATTTTTTTTTCTCAGCTTAAAGCCGTTTTTACCGACTATAAGTCGGGAAAAGGATTTACGTCTACTAGGCCCTTACAGGTAAGTATTATTTGGTATTATTGATAATGTAAAAGTCTTGCTCAAATCGTATTTGGCTTTTAGTTCTTGTGCCAGTGCTTCATATTTTCTGATTTTCTCTTTTCTTGCATTTTTAATATTTTCGTCTAGTGATATTGTGATGTCCAGCAGGTAAGCATGTTTTTGTTTTTTATAGAAGACTACTATATCAGGTCTATTATATGCTACACAGTACGATCTGAGATGATGTCAGTATCCCAGTATACTTTTACGTTTTCGTTTTCTACTATTTTTTTAGGTAAGTATCGGTAGTACGGTGTAATTTCATTTAAAAGATTTTCTTTTTTGCAGATTTCCTGATGTAGAATATAAGTAACCAAGCCAAAGTGTAGAATATAAGTAATCAAGTAAGAAACCAAACCAGCCTCCCGGTTGTGCCTCCAGATAATGTCGCAGTGCAAGATAGGTACGTCGAGAGCAGATTATGTGTTGAATTGTTTCCGGAAAGGTTGCATAGTCGGCATCTGTCATTAGGTAAGGCCGTTTTGGCTATTATTTTTAGGAAATTTTTAGTTGGTATTTGCTGGTATTGTATCCTGTATATGCCAAAGATGTCACAGTGCGAACTCCCCATACACGCCGGTATTCAAAGCACATGAGAGCACTACTGAGAGCCTAAGGTTTCATCCTAGTGAAAATAAGTTATGTCAGATATCTTACTCTATAAAAATCGTATAAAATATTCGAATTAATGGACTATCTAATTGAAAAAAATATATTGAAATCTAATTTTTAGGTCTTTTTTGGCCTCCCTTTTGGTAGAGGTCAAGCTATCCATTGGCCGTTTTTCTCGCTTTAATCCGCTGTAATGCTCGCTGAAACGGCGCTGATTTAGTTCGCGGTTATTTTACGCTCGCTCTAACTACCTCGGATTATTTTAATCGCTCAATAAATATTGCAGGTCGTTAAAAATACACCCCGACTGACCGATGGCAAATATCTCTCTAAAAGCAAAAATATACCCTTATTGTTGTGACAGTGGATAAAAAATATGATGATAGTTATAAATTTCTACTATTTTCAAATTAAAAATCTGCATTTTTTTTTAAATAGTACATCATATCTATTTTTTCAAAAAGATTTAACATAACAATTCTACTTGCAAAAAAATTATCTGGGTATTTCGCGACTTGCATTGTAAGAAAACCTACAAAATAAAATTTATCAGCGGTATTTTACTAATAAAACGAATTTGCCTAATGTTTGCCAAAAATGTTTTAACGTTTCGTTAGGTTAGGTTGTAGTATACAGGGTGCTACAAATTCGAGGTACGAGCATTGGTATCTCGGAAACCGTAATAGTTACGAAGATGGTTAAATTGGGGCAAAGTTGCGCCTTGGGATGTTCACAAGATGCTATCAAAAAAGTTTTAAAAATTTCAAGGATTGCTGAGTTTTTTGGAAAAAACGAATTTTTTGGAAAATCAATTTTATTTTTTCCTGTCGTTACTTTTTATAAAATCAAAAAACTAATTGCATATTCTCATAGCCACTTTATTAGGGCTATTTGACAGTATTTTTAGATTTTCAAATTAGCTGATAATTTGTGAGATACAGAGGCCGACTTCATTTTTTTAAATACGGATCTGCATTTTTTATTTCAGTTTTTGAAAGAACTCGTTCTCCTGAGTACAATGATATGCCACACTTTATACTTTTTTTTGTTTTTGGTACCTTAACAACAACAAAACTATTTAATGATTTTTTAAAATATTTTCAAGTCCGACCCTGGTTTCTTAAAATACTTAATCTGATTATATTCATTGCAACAATATTGATCAGCGCTAATTAACATTGAATTAGGAAAATCGAGCCAATTGAAAGATTCAAATAAATAATATCCAGCTCAGCAATTTAAAGATATTATTTTAACTTTTATTACTTATATATATTATTTTATATTTTAGCTATTTTATTATAGTATTTGAAATTCTCGGTGTACGATCTAACAATGTGCATAATATTAATCGTAGTTATTATAAATAAATCACCTTCTACAAACTTGTTTCTAATGCTCTACATGTTCGAAAGGGTTACCACCTTGCCTATTACACAAATTTATTATTCTTTCAATTTTATTTATAGCTCTTTGGACGTATCTTCTTATACTTCCGAATGCATTTTGTACTCTTTATTATAAATGTTGAAAAATATTGATTTCATTTTACAAATGACGTCAAGTAATGCAATTATTTTTTTTATTGAATTTGATTTTTCGTATTCAATGTTTTACCCCACGTCATAGTTAAATTTGAGGGCTTATCAATATTGTAACGATGAATGATTTAAATATTTAAAAAACAGAGCCGGACTTGAAATTAATTTAAATAAATTTTGTGTTTAAATGTCCGAAGGAAAAAAAAGTATAAAGTGTGGCATATCATTGTACTCAGGAGACCGAGTTATTTCAAAATCTGAAATAAAAAATGCAGGTCCGTATTTAAAAAAATTAGGTCGGCCTCTGTATCTCACAAATTATCAGCTAATTTTAAAATCTAAAAATACTAGCAGATAGCCCTAATAAGGGGTGTATGGGGTTACGCTGGAGAGGTAGCACCTTTCTCCAACAGCGGTCACATCGAATGTCTTAGACAGGAGATGGCTGAAGGAAACTGGTCCTCCCAGGGTACCCAACTCACTTATGGCTCCAAGCTGCCACACCCCGGTAAACTGCATTGACCTGCAGGCCAAACTAAGTGAGGGTAGCCAGATATGGTGAAAGTAGCGTCTGACCCAGAATGGGCGGCTACGAACAGCGTCTGTCTTCCCATGTAGGGGCGGCTGAAAACAAAACTCGTCAACACGCATGGCAAGCGAGACGTTTAAACCGCCAAACCCCCTCCAAATGAAATGTCAATCCATGAAAATGTATTACCCCAGGCAAGTAGGACAAGTCCAGAATCTTGCACTGAAACTTCAGTCAGTCCCACGGATTCTGGGGGGACAGAAGATTGACTTATAGATTCCACAGAAATAAATCAAACACCAAAACATTCAGATTACTAACGTACAACGTAAGATCACTGCACTCAACGGAAAAACTAACAGAACTAGAAGAAGAAACTAACCAAGATAAACTGGGATGTCGTGGGGATGTGCGAAGTGAGGAGACGAGGCGATGAGAAACTACTTACTCTCAAATCTGGCCACACTTTATACCATAGAGGTAACGCCGAAGACTCCAACGGTGGCATTGATTCCTCATCCATAAGAATCATACACAAAACATAGTCAGTATAAAAGCATATCAGAACGCGTAGCCTACGTTATAATGTCTTAAATAAACACTACAATATGAAAATAATACAAGTATATGCCCCTACATCCGACCACAGCGATGAAGAGATCGAGAGCCTATACGAAGACATCGAAACGGCTAACCAAGAAACAAAATGTCACTACACCTTCATAATGGGGGACTTCAACGCTAAGGTCGGTAAACAAATGGATGACTCGGAGACAGCGATGGGAAATTTCGGCTCGGAAGGCAGAAACGAGCGAGGACAAATGCTATTAGACTTCCTACACCACCACAACTTACACCTAATGAATACCTACTTCAAGAAGAAACCGCAAAGAAGATGGACGTGGATAAGCCCCGACGGAAGAACAAAAACGAGATAGACTTCCTAATAACAGAAAACAAGCGAAATATCGCGGACGTCACAGTACTAAACAAGTTTGGAATAGGAAGCGATCACCGAGCGGTAAGAAGTACGATCAAAATAAACCTGAAAAACGAAAGAAAAAGATGGTCCATCCACGGAAGATAACAAGATGGACCCCTCCAGATAACCCTAAAGCCTTTGAAGACTCAATCTCCACTGCTCTCCGTCATGTACAACAAACCGACATCAACGTCCTCAACAACAATATTACAGAAGCCATTCTAGCAGCACAGAAGCGGCATTGCAACACCCAAAAGCAAAACGACGAAAGACTAACTGAGGAAACCAAACAACTCATGAGCCAAAGAAGATCGATTAGAGGAAATCTGGAAAACTCGGAGGAGATACGCCGGCTGAATAAAACAATCTCAAAGGAAATACGCAAAGACTTAAGGAAATATAATACGGAGATGACCCAACAAACAATAGAGGAAAATCGGAGCATGAAAGTCATGAGAAGGAAACTGGCCGAGGGCAAAGTGGAAATATTCAAGCTCAAGGATGGAACAGAGAGGAAACTACAGACAGGAAAAGACTCCTCACCATAGTGGAGAACTTTTATAAAGAACTATATAAAAGCCCAACCACAAATACCAACAACAGCACAACACAGGCGAGACAAACAGGGGGGAAGAACCTGAGAATAATAAACGTAGGCTCGGAAGATATGCCACACATCACAACAGAAGAGGTGAGAAATTCCCTCAAAGAAATGAAAGGAGGCAAATCCTGGCGAAGATCAGATAGTGATTGAAGCGGTGAAAAGTGGGGGAGAACAAATCATTATAAAAATCACTGCCCTGCTGAACTTATGTCTCGAAAAGGCATGGTCCCCGAGAGATGGAACAATGCGGTTACAATACTTATCCACAAGAAGGGCGATATAACTAACTTAGAAAATTACAGACCAATAAGTCTACTCTCCCACTTATATAAACTTTTTCACTAAAATAATTACAAAACGCCTAGAAAACAAACTTGAAGCATACCAGCCCCGTGAGCAAGCTGGCTTTTCGAAAGGGCTATGGCACAAACGACCATCTACAAACAATAAAGACCTTAATAGAGAAATCAATAGAATATAATAAACCGCTCGCCCTAATATTCATCGACTTCAAAAAGCCTTCGACACTGTCGAATTACCATCTATACTAAATGCACTCAACGAATGTCGAGTAGACCACAGATACACGGAACTTCTACATAACATATACAGGAATGCCACGGGATGCGTAAAACTTCACGCACTAACTAAGAAATACACAATAGAAAGAGGAATAAGACAAGGTGATACTATATCCCCTAAACTCTTCACTGCGGTGTTGGAGCATGCACTCAAACAACTGAACTGGCAGAATAAGGGCATAAATATAGACGGCGAATACCTACACCACCTTCGTTTCGCCGACGACGTAGTTATAACAACCGACAATTTAGGAGAGGCACAGGAAATGCTGGAAGAACTAAGGCAGGCGACAGCAAGAGTGGGACTGTATATTAACTACCACAAAACACAGTTCATGACAAACTTGGTGGCCAGCGGAAACCTGGTGACAGACGAAGGAGACGAAATAGAGCAAACGCACAAATATAAATATCTCGGTCACGAGATACAGATTTGCAGAGACAACCAGACAAGCGAAGTCACACGACGCATAGGGCTAGGATGGGTAGCTTTTGGCAAACTAAGAAACGCCCTTAGGGGAAACTGCCTATATGTCTGAAACGGAAAGTGTTCAACCAATGTGTGCTCCCGGTGATGATATACGGGGCGGAGACTCTGACTCTGACGAGGAAGTCAATAAACAAACTTCAAGTGGCACAGAGAGCAATGGAAAGATCGATGCTGGGAATCACTAGAAGAGACAAAGTGACGAATATAACAATAAGAAGCAGAACAAAGGTTGCCGACATTATCGAACTTATCACAAAATCTAAGTGGAGATTCGTATTCAATGTTTTACCCCACGTCATAGTTAAATTTGAGGGCTTATCAATATTGTAACGATGAATAATTTAAATATTTAAAAAACAGAGCCGGGAAAGGAAAGGAAAAAAAAAGTATAAAGTGTGGCATATCATTGTACTCAGGAGACCGAGTTATTTCAAAATCTGAAATAAAAAATGCAGGTCCGTATTAAAAAAAATTAGGTCGGCCTCTGTATCTCACAAATTATCAGCTAATTTTAAAATCTAAAAATACTACCAGATAGCCCTAATAAAGGGGCTATGAGAATGTGTAATTAGTTTTTTGATTTTCTAAAAACTAACGACAGGAAAAAATAAAATTGAGTTTCAAAAAAATCTGTTTTTTTCCAAAAAACTTCTAAAAACTAATCCTTGAAATTTTTAAAACTTTTTTGATGGCATTTTGGTGAACATCCCAAGGCGGCAACTTTGCCCTAATTTAACCATCTTCGTATCTATTACAGTTACCGAGATACCAATGCTCGTACCTCGAATTTGTAGCACCCTGTATAGTTTCGTTATATAGTTAGGAGGTATATCTCTAAGAACAAGGAAAAAACTATTTAAACTATCTAAATACAACTATTCCAGAACTCTACAACTATTCTCCCCTTCTAGTTTGCCCAACATACCATACTATCGAAAAAAAAACGGCGTCAGTGATGGCTATGAAATGGAGATCGCTGTCATTTTGTATGTAAAAGTATATGGGGAATGTCATCGATCGCCATTTCCAAGCCAACAAAACGCCGATTTTTTTTTTCAACCATACGGTATTTCTGATTACATTACACATATTTACGTGAAGTCTCACAAATACCCGACCATTACAGTGTAGGTGTTTTATCTTTAGGATTACCTATAATAATTGTCTATCAGGGAAACTTTAAACCATACCGAAATCATGGAAGCTATCTTACAGGAACTTTTAGAGGATATTCCTTTTTGCTAGTTTCCTCCTCCTCCTCCTAGATGCCTTCTCTATTGAGGTTGGCGATTATGGCGATTATGGCAACTCTCTGTCCAGAGCTTGGTGAATAGGGGTGTTTCCTTCGGTATGCTATGTTTTCCATCGATTTTTCCTTCTATTATGAGTTGTATTTCTCCATATTCTGAGTGCCGCATTACATGTCCAAGGTCGGAAGTCTTTTTGATTTTAATTGTGCCTGTTAGGTATGCACAAGTTTTCATTCTGTTTAAAACTTCACAATTTGTTTTTCTCGAGGTCCAACTTATCCTCAGCATCCGACGATACATCCATATTTCAAACGCATTAAGGTGTTTGATGTCTTCTTGTTTTACATACTTTTTCATATTGAAGTATATAGGGGTCATAATATGACGAATCAACGAGGTTAAGAACATTAAAATGTTATATATTATAAGAACATTAAAATGTTATATATTATATAACATTTTAATGTTCTTAACCTCGTTGATATAGCTATTCTCGCATGGCATAAGTATTTCCGCATGTTGAGGAAACCAGCCCTAGCTATTTCAATCCTTCTTCTGATTTCCTTAGAGTGGTCTTCCCTGCCCAAGTAAATATCTCTGCGTGGTTTCGAGATGGACGCCGTTTACCATTATGTCGCTGTTTTCATTATTGCGAATGTCTGCCGAAAATCATAGTTTTTGTCTTGACGGTGTTAATCTCTAAACTCATCCTAATACTTTCTTCTGTCAGTTTGTCCATTAGGGTTTGCAGCTGGTCTTCGGATTCTGCTAATACCACGGTGTCGTCTGCATATCTTATATTGTTTACATTTTTTTTTAATTTTTAGCTAGTTTACGTAAAACATAATGTACTTTCAGCAAGATGGGGCTCCCGCTCACACTTTGAAAATATGAGGATTTTACAAACAACTATTTTCCAAATCAATGAATTTGGTCTAAATGGATCCATGAGATATGGCCTCCCAGACCCATGGATTTGTCCGTTCTCGATTTCTGTATTTCGAGATGTTTGAAAAATTAAATATATCATGGCAACTACAACGATGTAGAAGACTTATCTTCCCGTTAAATAAAATCCCGTTATTAAAAGAAGAAAAATATATTCAGAGATTTAATGGTAACAGTTTAAAAGCAAAATATTTTAGTCCCAAATAAAATGTAAAAATTTAATTGAGTATTTTAGTGAATACCATTTTATCTATCACGGAGTATATATATATATATCGATATTTATCAAGAAAATTATAACAGACACTGTATTCTAGGTAAAATGTTCTACACGAAACAGTTTTCACCTTCGCGATACCCTTTATAATAACAAAAATACAGGGGGCGTCCCAAATTGGAAAATTTTCAAAAAGACCCTGTATAGCTCAGAAATAAAGAGTGCTTTGAAAATTTTGTTTACAACATTTTCGGTTTGATAAAAAAAAAGTAGGACAGGCTTGTGCAAACCGCATTATTCACTAATAACGGAGATATTATGATTTCAACAAAAATGGGACACACTGTACATATCTATTGCTGCCTCAAATAGAAAACCTTATACAACACAACTTCAAGCCTCTTAATTTCCGACTGGCACTGTATACACCGAATTCAACATTTAAAACCCCGGCGGTGCTCAAATTCGGAGGGTGGATCTGGATACAAAGCGGGGTTCCCAGCTCCCCTTTTCCCATCGGCTCCCCTCGTTTCCTGCGCCCTTCCTAGACAAAGGCGCACGGGGGGCGCCGCCTCGTATTGTGTAAATAATTGGAAACAGTGGTCATGACTGAACGCGCACCTGATAACAACTTGTAAGGGAAACCACCCTCGGCGATGCAGGCGCTCGGCCCCCCCTTTTATAAATACCCATTTACTTGACTAATGTACCCATAAGAATTCCGCAGCCCGCGCGTTCATTGTGATTTAACGGGCGCCCAAATCGTTCCTTTACTGATGAGGGGGAGGGGGGATAAGGGGAGGGATATAAATCGCGGTTAATTAAAAATTAGTGAGTGAGGGAGTTGCGACCTGGTGTGGTCCGGT